ATGTTTTTAACACAATAACATATCAGTTTCTCAAAAAAACCCAGCAGGAAATGTTTCTGTATCTTATTTGTTATCTATACCCTTTAGAGCAGGGGTCTCAAACTCAATGCCCGCAGGCCCAATGTGTCATGTGCTGGCCACGCTCATCCCTGTATTTTTATCCCTTCCATTCACTTTTAAGATCTTTAATCCTTTCAAATAACTTTTCCTAAAAATCAGTTTAGTAACAATTTTTTTCTCCTCTTAGATTTTTTTTCACAAGATGGCCCTTCCTCAAGATGGCGTAAACAGACTTTTACAACTCCCCCCCCCCCGTTCTTTCACTGTTCACTATTAAATTACAAACTACTTTTTAGCTGTAAGGAGGTTTGTGGTGGGACACAGTATTATACTGTATTATACTGTTTTCTCCTTTTAGCTTTTTTTTTAAAGAGCCTTTATATTTATTTCTTATTTTTTATAGGAACATTCTACTTGTTTTTGTTGTTGGCGTTAGTTGTGAAGTCGTGACTGACCCATCATGATTCGCAACCCCATGGACAATGTTCCTCCATGCCTTCCTGTCCTCTACCATGCTCTAGAGACCATTTAAGCTCATGCCTACTGCTTTGGTGACTTCAGCCACCTCATTCTCTGTCATCCCCTTCTTCTTTTGCCCTCAATCTTTCCCAGCATTAGGCTCTTCTCCAGTGAGCTCTTCCTTCTCGTTAGATGAGCAAAGTAATTGAGATGAAACACCTTCCTTTAACCCTGGAGGAAAAAAAAAAACCTTCTATGTGGATGTTGGGTTATGACTTATCTGCTTCTATTATCCTTGAAAAAGAAAGAACAATGTTTATCTTGCCTCTAAAAGGAAATGATTTTTTTTTCAGGGGGGGGGGCAGTTGAAAAAAGAATGCTTGCTAATTTAGAGCATCTTATTTGAAAATATAATGGGTCAATAAGGGTTGTGCAAACTCAAGATGACATCCAAAAGGAGTCAATAGTTGGATTTGATTTTCAATTTGATGAATTGGAACCTGATCTGTTGCTGTCAGATGTGAAGAAGAAAGTATTTGATTTTAAAAATATATAGATCTGGCAGAAAAGATTGAGAAGAATATAAGAAATTCTGAGATAATGGATATGATGAAGGTTGGACTGGACTTTCTTGGCAAGAGGAATGTTGTGTTATCAAGGAGAATTGTTGAACAATGGAGCTTGCAGAGATAAGTATAACAGACATTTATAACAAAATATTTAAAACCTAAGAAAAGGTTTCAATATTAACAACCAGATAAGGGTATTTGATCCTGGACTCAGAGATAATGATTGAGATGATTTGTGGACAATAAGAAATCATGTAGACTTTCTATGAGTAAATTACAATAATCGACTGTTAACAAAGTGCTTTGTACTTTAACTTTGCTGTTATTTAACCTGTTAGCTATTTCTTCTTTCATTAATGTATGACATGTCAAGCTTATAAATTTGGGGGCTGTTTTGCAAGAGAGAAGCTATTATTGTTGCAATAGATTTGTCAATGTTCAACTAGGCGCAATAACATGTGTTTTTGTCCTCTGTTAAAGAAATTCACATTTTTTAAGTTTTTTATATAATTTTGTTTTTTCTTTGATTTTTTCTTTTGTATTTCAATCTTTTAAATAAAAGAAAAAATGTTAAAAAAGAAATTCTTTCACAAATTTAAGTTGTTTCTTTTGTTAATCCAAGATAAAAAAGATGTCCAAATCATTCTTCTGATTTATTATTTCTATGTCCCATTTAATTATTATGACATCAACCAGGTTTGTTTGTATATCCAATGTAACATTGTTTTCCATATTATTTTTTTTACCTCTCATTGCTTGGTTCTATTTTTATCTTATTCAAGTTAAAATACAAAACTCCCAATTATTTTAAAAGCAAACCAAGAAAATACACAAAACAGTGAAACATTTAAAAAGTGCATTAAAGGGGGAAAAAGATCTAAGACATATATGCATATTATCCCACCAGAGGAATAGTAATAATACATTACTACATTATTAGTTTTCCATCCTTTGCAAAACAGGCCCCAATTTTTTTTAAACTACTAAATCTATTTGTAAATTATTATCTTGCCTTTTATATATTATATTAATGAAAAAATAGTAATAATAAAAAGGCAAGATTAAAATTGTAAAACCCTTGTTAATAAACTGTTATTGTAATAAACTCACAGAAAATTTACCATGCCATTTTATCAATCCCAAATTAGTAAATATCCTTAATCAAATATCCATATTTGTTTCTTAATACCATCTCTTATCAATTATCTGGTTAAAAATAATAAATTCAATCTCCAAAGTCAGTTTATCTTTCCCAAAATATCCAGACGAAATTGTTTTCCAGTTAAGTGTGATAAATCCATTCCAAATATTTTTCATCCTCCTAGGGAAAACCACTTTATCACTTCTTCAACTTAGGTCTCTGCTGTTTTAAGAATGCAGGCTTGAACTTCTGGGAGGTATTCGCAATCAACTAAGGTCTAAGTCTGTACAGACCATATTTCTTTCCAGTGAATCTACTGCTTTCAAATCACATTCTTCTTGTGAATCTAAGTTATCCAGAGCTACATGCATCTGAATTTTTCTGCAGCCATTATCTTTTCATCAAATGATAATGGATTTAAAAGCTTTTAAAAAAGCTTTCAACTAGTTACTGCATGTTACCACACAGTCTCTTTTTCAGATATTAGACACATTTGCTTGTCTGTAATCTGATACACCGTTGCTCTGTAAAACTTAGCAATGATAGATAAGAGGAAACAGAATGTTGGAAGAAGGCGGGGCTTAGCAGTGAGAAGATGGAGTTTCAGGCTATTCCTGAAATTCC